GGCCGGATGGAGGTCACTCGAGGGCCAGATGTGGTGTGGCTCGAGGTGTGCCACCAGTTGAATTGCCTTGACAAAGTGTTATTTGAGTCATCTCTTGAAAGTTCCTGTATTTTTTCATCTTACAATATATACCGCGGTTAGAAGAAATTGAAATGTCAGTTTTTTTCAAATATCGTAAAACCACCTTACATACTTTTTTTGTTGCCACAGCTCACTGTCAGGTCAGGGCTCAAAGTCTGAAACACTGCTTCCTGTCAACGTTGATTGAATTTCCATTTAATTTGATCCTGTTTACAGCATCGCTGCAGAACAAACACGGCTGCTGAGAAAAAAAAAGAGTGTAGCTTTTACCTGGACCTTGGTAAGCCTGAGGATGGCCCTGCGATGCAGAACCCCAGGGATCTGCAGCGCTCCTCCCAGTCTGAGTGCCCTCCGGATTAGACGCCCAGTTGCTGTTAGAGCCCCCCGAGGGGTCCGCATTCCACGCCGACCAGGGATCGTTCCCATTACTAGCCTGGGAGACACATAAGGAAGAAACTGTGAGCGGGGAAAAAAGGCAAGACTGTGACGGCGGAGAGGACGGAGGACAGACGGCGTCTGTTCCTTAGAAGCTGAGAGTCGCCTTAAAACAACATGCTATCCCCCCAACAAACAGAACGCAGCAGGGAACGCACCATGAGATAATACAAGTCTATAATCTGTAACTGCACAACTCTGAGAGAAAAAAAAAGATTTMTAATTAGGATCAAATAAAGCACGTGTGCAAAAAGTTCCCATTTTGAGTCCTTTTGAGCTCAAAATGAAACTAACTGGCATGCTTTTCAAACTTGCAGGCAAAGGCATGCAAAAGTGTGTGTGTGTGTGTGTGTGTGTGTGTGTGTGCGTGCATCTCTTTTGTGGGCTAAAATTAGCGTGATGCTAACCAAACTCTGAGCTGATTAAATGCAGAATTACAGGTTGTAAAGCAAACATCTGCAGTGCCACCAACAAACCGACACTAAAGCTGTTAGAACCAACACCGCAACATGTTGTTTTTTTTATCAGATCTTTAACAAAACTTAAAAAAATAAAACAAGGTTGTTTCTATTGATGGTATTTTAATAAGTGATTTAAAATAAACACACGTGAGATTTGACAGAAAGAGTGGCTCATTCTTGTGTGATTACCCGAAATACAAGTGAATAAATGTGTGTTTATAGAAGTGAGAGTGAAAGCTGATTGGTTCGATCTCCGCTGCAGTGCAACCAGAATAAAGAAGGTGAGATCATGCTTTTTTTTTTTTTTAACAGGGGGAAAAGTGTCACAGCAGACCAATCAGATGGTTTCGGCGGGGTGAGGGCAAGAAGGCTCGGACTAGCGCCTCTCGTCCTGCTCACCGCCCACCGAAGTGGCGATTACCTCCTCGGGGGATGAGAGGGAGGGGGAAACTGGGGTGTCGGGGGTGTCCGGCGGGGCACTCGAAGCCCCAGCATCCACCTTGAGGGGGGAACAGAAGGTAACATCATCACAAAGCGCGGGGGGATGGGGGTGAGGGTTAAAGTGATAACTGTGCATGTGTGCTGGAGTAAAACAGCCGACTCGTTTCCTGCCCCGGCTCCTAAAAAAGCACCGATTTTTTTTCTTCTTTTTTTTAACTGAACCAGCAAGGCGYACATTTTTGTCGAACTTCCTGGCAGCTGCAGAAAAGAACACACCATTTCCTCTCCACATCGCATTACTAAAGGAAAGAAATCTGCTTTTAGCTTGAAGTGACATCGCTCGCAGGCGCGGCTCTCACTTCTGCATCGGAGGTTTCACTCCAGCGCCGGGAAAAGGCAGCCAGGCTTTGGTCATCGCTCGCTTCTGCTTTTTGTTCTTTCCTCGGCGTCATCCTCCGTTACACGTGTGTGTGTGAGCAGGAGAACAGAAGCACGACGTGTGGTCGATGGGTGCATTTCTACTTTAGATTTGTGGCGAGGTCGTTACCTGTGACGGCGCTGACGACGGCGCGAAGGCATCAAAGAAGGACAGGTCCGGGGCGGCAGCATTTCCTACACTGGGAGTCGGGGCTGTTCCTTGGAAGGCTTTGCTGAGCTGCAAACGGCAGGATAACAAGCAAGGAAAATTAGGTGAATGGATTTAGAATCCACACGATTTAAAGATTTCTAAAGGTACATTCTTTATTGGTAACACCATAGACTTGAATAAGAACACTAGACTGAGCCCCGCCCATCCCGTCCACTGGTAGTGTCTGTGACAGCATGGAGGAGCAGAAACA